AACAAATATATATCTTATATATATATATATATAATATTATATGTATATTAATTTTATGTTTCTATGTTATGTTATAATACTAACGGGAATATTTGAAACAAATTTCTAAATATTAGGATATGATTTTATTGTTATGTTTTTAAATGTTTAAAGTGCTCATCGTAAAAGCAAAAAAAAGGAATAAAAAGTACTTCATTATTTTTTGTTGCCGTCTAAGCGTTCTCAATTACACTTTACTCCTAAACAGCAAAGTTTAGTTACTCAGAATAATCTGCTCAATGCATTATACTTTAATCTAAGTAACTGAACTGATCCAAAACTGCCGAATTAATGTGCAACTTTCTTTTGCCAAACTTTTATGATTCTGTCTTTAATTACTGGACGTTATTAATAATAATTTTGTAAATTATGTTACATCATTAGTATGTACGAAATTTTACATATTCAAAATTTTTAGATTGAATATGTGTAGTACTACTTTATTAAAATACTAATTGCAATAACCATTAATAAATTCATTATTTAATTAAAATCAAAGAGGATTATATAAATGATAAAGGACAACCAATTTTACATTTTAAGAGCCATTATTATTTATTATTTGGTTATTGGTTATTATCTATACGTATTAATAATGGTAAAAGAAAGTCCAAATTTTTAATGCATTAAAATAAAATCTGACTGTACTGCCATAAATAATGTACATTTCTCAAGGACAAATTTCATTGATTGGTGGGGCTTGAGTCGCAACTCTGACAACTTCACTGACAGACTTTGTTTAAGGATATTTAATTTATATCCTGTATTCATTTTAACTTGTCCATTGCATTATAAATTTAATATTTGCATAGTAAATATTTTCCTATATAAATAGTTATATTGAATTTAGAATACTTGCTTGAATTTATATTCATAACAAAAGAAACGTCTATAATATATTTATAGAATAATCATACTTTCCTACAAATTTATCTAATGATAAAGCTATATGTGCATTATTATAAATTTAACGAATCCTTATGTTATGTATAGTGTTACAAAATCTCTATTTTCTTCACCTCAATAAACATAGTCTTTCAGCAGGAAGTTTGTCTTGAGTCACAACATTGCAAAGGGCAGAAATATAGAGTTATTAAGACGGATTTATTTTATTTATAAAACAAACAAAACGTTGGGATAAATCGTGCATAAATATATAGAAATAATAAGAATAATTATGATAGAAAAACGAATAATACAATGTTAATTTGATAGGTAATATATAAATGAATATATTTTGTAAATAACTTCTTGTAAAGATATATAAAAGCACCCTCATTGTACATATAGAAACTGTTTAAATTTTTATTACATTAGCGATAGTTCAAGTTGTGCAACATTGTCATATTATTAATTACTTTTTGTGATTGTGCACTGAGAACACTAGAAGCACCCTTTTGGCTCACTTAAAATATGCAAAAATGTGTATGCATACATATATATTGTATTATATATGTATGTATGTGATGTATATGAACTATTGTATATGAACAATTGTTTTTGTGAACAGATAATCTAGTTTTATATTGTATAAATGTAAATTATATAGTTGAGAGCTAGAATTTTTAAATGAGCCTGTGATAGCCATCATAGCATTTTTTATATTGAAAATCTGCATTTAGAATGTCACATTAGTAATGTATATTCGTTTGTTCCGTAATTCTACATACGTTCCGTTATGTATAAAGAAATGAAGAAAATATTATATTATGATTATTTTAACATTTCTGTTTTATATAAAGCTTTCCACAAAATTGTATTGTTTCATAAATGAATAAATCCTAATTTGAGTTAGAGTTATTCGAAGATTTTGAAAGATAAACTATTTTTCCCCAACAAAATTTCTTTATCTCTTTATTATTTTTAGGTTTCATGAAGAATCTTAAATAAAGTATTTTCTTCATATTCCTTATTGAAGCTTTGATGGCTATCGGGTAGTATATATTTAAAAAAATATTTCTGTCACATGAATGTTGAGTACTGAATTCAATAATATTTTAAATAGGAAAAATTTTAACAAACTTGCATTCAATGAACGATATCGTACTACTTTGAACAATGGTTTTGTTAAATTTTCTTCTATTTTTAATATTTAGTTAAATTATTTAGTTAGAACATTGCTTGTTTAACAAAATTTATTTCAATAGATCTTGAATCATATATTGTAAATAATAGCATGCTTATTTTACATGGTGGGAATTTATGCTGTATATAAAACATATAAAGAAATGAACATTTAAATTGCCTTTAATTTGATTCAGTCCTATATTGTAACGGAATCACGTATAATGTAAAATGTAAAGTATAGTAATTTAATAATACAATTTAAGAACCAGCAGGAAAAAAATAAATTGTAATTTCGATGTAAAATATTCTCTTGAAACTTAGGCAAATAAGTTAGGAATTATTATGTTACAATTTTATCATTGAATATTACATTTATATGATTGTATAGATTATAAAGAAAGTAAGCTTTGCGTGTAAATATAAATATTTTAAAAATAAGTAAATCTTTCGCATGTTTACATAATTAAGGAGCTTCTAAAGTTTGTCTGCCATATAATTACATATATAATATGTATGTATTATAATACAAATAATACTGATACACCAAAGATCATAAGTTGATTGTAATATGTAACAATTGTTGATATTCAACACATTTTTAAAAGATGGTGTATTTGTAACGCTCAATAAATAATTGGTGTTTATAGTGTGCTTCATAAACACATAATGTACCATCATTTTCATGCAGACTATAATAATTATACCAATTAAAATGTTCACTTTTGTGTGCTCATTTGTATGTATGTATAACGAATGCATTACAAGCTCCTTAATTTTGTTTGCAGTGCCACAAATATTCTATCATATATATATGAATATGCGTTTTAAAATCACCAACTCTAAGGTGAAACTTGATGACTTTAAACCTACTTTATGCAAAACGTTTGTATTTTTAGTATTTGGTTAATTGATATAAATAGCAGTAAAAGTAAATTGATAATAATTCAAGTGGATATATAGATATATAAATATAAATATATATATAAATAAAAAATTAGATACAATACTATATTTGTAGAAAACAATTGAGCACGTGAAAAGAAAATCGCGCTATGATTATGAGAAAAAATATTACAATTATATTATTACCTATTATTACACAAAGTGGATACACAATATAGTAATTTGCTAATTGTACCTTTTAATAATTACTGTAGACACATTGATGAAGGTTTTTTTCTTGTTATTAATTATTACCATAAACTTAAAAGATAATGAAAAATGTGTTATAAAAAGATGCAATTGCTTATTTTGTATCATACCCAGTTTCATGAATTACTTTGATATCTCACATACACATTTGTTAAATCAAAATGATTTTGTGAACATTTATAATACAGAAATACATTCTGTAGTTATACCAACATTTCTAGTTTTAATTTTACAATAATTATTTTGTGATAAAAAAGAAATAATATTTTACGAATATTTGCAAATATTTTCTGCAAAAATAAAATATCATAAAAGATTTAAGTTACTTTGTTTGCATACTTTTAGAATTATGATAATTATGAATATTTATCTTATGAAGTATACATTAAAATCACTATATAAATCTTTTCAGAAATATTTTTTATGGAAAGTTTTAAAATATAAAAGTAACAAATAATCTTTATTTTTTGTAAACTTATGAATTTAATGTAAATAATGCTAAATATTTACCTGTAACTATTTCTAGTTGCAAATTGAGTAAGAATTTGTGAGTTTCATGTAACTTCAATTTTGTTTATTAAAATTTTTATAAATATATTTATTTTAAAACAAAATTTTTTATCAGTGATATGTCGTAATTTCTAAATACATTTGTTAATATAATTACACGGGGTCATATCTCTTATATACAAACAATGACGTATTTGTGAGTAAGACTAATTATTCTTTTCAAGGGAATACTATAATTAGTGAAATATTATAGAAGTAATAACTAATATTTACAAAAATAAAAGTACTTAAAAGTTAAATTCACTTTCCATCAAGTTTGAAAATTTATTACATATAATTGGTTAAAATTGGTTCTAAAGATAGTTATAATAAGTTTTTCTTTTTCAATAACAAACAAAATCTTCCTTCATATTGCTTTTATCGAATACTATATAATATTTCAATGTTACCTATTTTTTTCATTCTTGTTAATTAATTCTAGAAACCTTTTTGTCATGAGTATTACTATGACCAGCTATGACCTCTTACGTTAATGTACAAGAATTAAATTATAGTATTAATTATTAATTTATATGTATACAATATAAAAAAAAGTATAATACATAAAAACTCATAAAAATTAAAAAATTGAATAATATCGAAAATACATATAACCGATAATAGTTTTTACAATATAAAAGTTTTCATATTTTTTAAATATGCATTGTGTTCGACGAATATCTCGTTGCGCTTTAAAGAAGAAAGTATTATAAACACATACCTAAAATATCTTTTATGTGCATTTATGTATGTGTATGATTGCAAAGTAAATTGACGTATACATATGCTATATGTATTTATATGCATGATATATATCAGTACATGACCCACGAAACTGTAACTACATATACATGTCAATTGATCACGTGGAATAGGATATATATTCACCTAGTATCCTAGCAAATAATAGTCATATATTTTATATTTTGGTAACTAAGTAATTTTAAAAAATGAGTATAGATAAAGAGGAAATAAAGAATAATTCAGAAACAAATGAATTCACTAAACCGAAAGAGAGAAGAAAGCGACAGGCGAATGAAAGTCGTATGGAAGTAAGTATTAAGGTTAAGTTCTAAAAATATAATTTTTTTATTTATTGCAATATTTAATTATTTTTACTTAGTATTTTTATATTTCTTTTTTTTTTGTATTATATGTTCTTTGTTAGGTCGAACTAATTAATGGTGCAGAAGAAAAAGAGAAGTCGCATATAACTTCAAAAAGGGCTAAAATTATTCAAGATGGTGAACAAAGAAAGGTGAAAAATTTAATTTTACTAATAATTGAACTTTATTAGTTAATTTGTGTGTACTATTATTAAAGCAAAATAAAATATTTTCAGATATCTGTACCTGCTCATAGGTATACCCCTTTAAAAGAAAATTGGATGAAAATATTTACACCCATTGTTGAACATTTACAATTACAAATAAGATTTAATTTGAAAACCCGAAATATAGAATTACGGACAGCTCCAGAAACTCCTGATATTGCTAATTTACAAAAAGGAGCTGATTTTGTAAAAGCATTTATTTATGGTTTTGATGTAGAAGATGCTTTGGCTTTGTTACGTTTAGACGGTTTATTTGTAGAAACATTTGAAATTCAAGATGTAAAGCCTTTGAAAGGTGACCATCTTTCTAGAGCAATTGGGAGATTAGCTGGAAAGGGTGGAAGAACAAAGTTTACAATAGAAAATGTAACAAAGACTAGAATTGTATTAGCAGATAGTAAAATTCATATACTCGGTTCTTTTCAAAACATTCAATTAGCAAGAAGAGCTATATGTAATTTAATCTTGGGTAGTCCGCCATCAAAGGTTTATGGACAACTCAGGAATGTAGCAAGTAGAGTTTCAGATCGGTTATAAAATAAATACTACAAGTTAGTATTAAATTAATAATTAATATTTACTGTATTTATATTAAACCTTTACAAAAATTTTGTGAAGGAAATTGTACACTTTATATAAGATTCTTTAAATAAAATTCAATACAAATTTTATACAGAAATATATGTAAAATTATTTATCTTAATAGATTTACAGAAATTAAAATTCACTTAAAGAAGTATTTGATATTTATATTTCCTGGGGACTTTATTAAGAACTAATCTACCATCATAACTCAATGATGCAAATGTCCAAGGGTCAGCAGATGACCATTCAACTGCATAAACGCTATCTTCATGTTCTTCATATCTACCAACAACCCCATCTTCAAGCCTAGAAATGATATATAATTTGGTTTTATATATTTTGATAATTTTAATTATGCCACATTTTAATTATCAATTATTACTTGTTTTTCTTGCAATTGTAATCATTTTGTGTACTATCATCTTCAGGAGTTACTATATGTCCAAAAGGTTCTGAAGATATTGATGCAATACTGCATAATATTACTCTTGAATCACTACTTGAAGTTAAAACTAATTGATCGTGAAAACGGTTGATTCGAACACTCCACACCCAATGTGAATGTTCCATACGGGACAATATAGGTTCTGTGGGTGACCGAATGTCCCAAAATTTCATATATCCATCATCTCCACATGTTGATAAAATATACTGACGATTCACGTTAAAATCTAAATCTCTAAATATAAGAGTAACATTACATTAAAATCTGTATTTAATAAAATTATAAAAATTATGAATAAAAATAAATAATCAAATTTTTATTTAATACCTAATTATTTGAGAATGAGCAGATAAAATCGTCCAGGATGTCTCAGCAGGATTTCTAAAGTCCCAACCACGAACATTATTTTCATTCAGTGTAACAAATTGATTGCAACCATTATGAGGATTCCACTTTCCATTTGTAAAACGTGGTTGACCTTTACTAGCTAAAGTGCCAGAAGTAGTAACCTAAATAAAGTAACAAATAAAAGATACATCTGTTGGTAAATAGCTTGGAAATCTATTTTTACCTGTGGGCCATTCTCAGCTAGATCCCACAATATAAATTTATTATCTACAACTGAAACAGCTTTCGTTGAATCCATAGGATGATAAGCAATGGTTTTAAGGTCTGTACCATATGGCGTAGTATCAATGTCTGCTAAGTTTTTAAGACTTTCAACATTATTTGTATATTCTTTTAGTTCTGGTAGTTTCCAAAGAGCTCCTTTCATCCGACAAGAACCATCATCTAAACAAAACATATTTTTTTAAAGTATAATTAAGATTTATCATTTTAATATCCAAAAAGGAAAAGTAGTTTGACTCATAATTACCATTTAAAGCATTATAACAAGTAATAAATATATTGGGCTCCGTAGGAGAAGCTTGTAAGGACCAAATTTCTCCGACAGGATGATGAAATATTTGAGTCTTTAAGCTGCCTGTTTCTTCATTAAGTTCTACCAAATGAACTTGATTGTTATTAAATTTCAATGATTGTGTTCCAACTAAAAATCTGACAATATCCGTTTCTGCTGTTTGAGCCGACAATGCTCTTGTCTATAAAGCAAAAAGTATTATGAATACCAATAGAAATAATGGTTAGTGCTTTAGATTAAATTATTATAAATCTTTATGAAAATGAATGATAAGATTTATGTTCTGTATATTTTATTTCAAATTATTATTGTCTGTAAAAATGTATGATTAAGAGAAGTATTTGTGAATGTTTGTAACTTAAGATTTTCCGTATTCTGAATTGCATACTTGGAATTCAAGGCCATATATTACAGGGTTATCATTTTCCATTTTTTAATTAAGTTTATATTTTACAGAAAATTAAAAAAATATGTTTTATTAACAAAGCTGTAACATAAACATATAATCTGTCAACAAAACTTGCAGCAACGACGCTAGAGATATGCGATATGCAACAAATCTATAGATGCGCTTATTTAAAAGCGAAGGTTGTGAAGTAAGTAATAAGTGATAACTAAAAGCTGCTAGAAGGCACTAGACTAGAAATAAATGTTATTAAATTTCGTTATTAAACATGCAACATTATGAGAGTAAAAAATTTTCCGATGATTCTACATACTCAATACTAACAAAAAAATAATTAAAAAATGTTCAAAATTATTTACCAATTTAATTATTATTCTATTATTTCGATGTATGTATATAACGATTCAATTTTGTAAATGTATCATGTATACGATGAAATATAATCGTGTGAAGAAATGTTCTAGATTGAAAGATTGATACTATTTAGATAGAATACGATAAAATATAATGTTTTTCACATTTAAGAAAATTTTTTTAATTAAACATTAGATTTTTATATTAAAATGGTGCATTTAGAATTGAATATGTATATAACGCAAACTTCGTGATAGAACGTAGGTGAGTATTATATATGAAAGAATCTTGTACGTAGATTTTTATAAAGAATTCTGTTTATTTATAATAGAAAATTGAAATGTAGTATATGTAATGTAATAATGTAATAAATGAAGATATAAAACAAAAGCATGCAAGAAGTAAAATTGAACAAACGCGCCAAAAGGTTGGAGCGTGTTGGCCATGATATACAGAGGCGCCACAAAATCATGACACAAAACTAGCAAACTCCGAGGATATCTATATGTTTCCGTTACCGCTGTCGTATCCCCACCACTCAGCAGCTCCTGCGTTGCTTTGCGTCGGCCGACGGGTAACCAGCCGTGGGGTCACCAGATAAATTATGTCAAACGGAGTAGTGTTACGAACGTGAACGATTATCGGGATTCGCTGTGCTCGCATACGAAAGTCGCAAAGTGCGCGCTCATATACGATTCAAGTGTGGTGCCGATGTAATTCCAGACTGGTTTGTCTCATAGACTTTTGTTAAATAAGTGATTAATTTTGAATGATCGTGCACAAACGTGTGCATTTGTATTGTCTCTTCGTATAAATGCACGTATCTGCTTTTATTTCTTTGAAAAAATCATGCTGACCCGGCAACATCAACTGTAAGTAATCGTTTGTCGCATTATTTCTACTTTCTTTCAATTGACACTCTCATAGTTCAACACGCACTTTGAGTATTATTATGATAAAACAGCGAGATGTGTGTATTTTTTTTCTTCTGGCAAAACTACTCGTATCACGTTACCAGATTTAGGTGAAAGTAAAATTGAAAAATAAAGATATTGTTTTTGGCAGTGTTTGCTGTTGATTCTACGAAAAGTCAGATTTAATAGTTCCAGCGTTTTCATGGCTTTTTTATTCACGCGATTCGAAGTTTGCTAGTTTTAAGATTACGGTTTTTGTTATCGTTTCTTTTCTTCAAGTGAATGATTTTAGTCTAATTGAAACTTGAAACGATGAAAAGAATACTGTGGTCTGATGACAAGAATAATGTGGGTATATATGTAATATTGCAAAGTTTACTTTCATGGAAATTATTTCGTACTTTTGGAGCAAAAATAATTAAGCAAGTACAATGTAAAATTGGTAAATATATATATTTATTTTGTACTTTACAAAGATTTTCTGACAGAAAATTGATATTTATGCGTATTGTCGAATTGCACAAAACTTGTTGCATTAATAATAGTTGCTGTAATGCTTGATACATATACTTCTATTCTATACAAAAATACGTGATATTATACATACAATGAAAGGAATAATCATTAAAACTTTTAGACTTTCATTTCTGTAAACATCACTCTGTAACTTTATTACGTATTTGTTATGATTTCTGTATTTATTGCGTATTTATTATAACTTCCGTACTTATTACGTATTTATTATGATTTCTGTATTTATTACCGTATTTGTTTAAAGTATTATACTATTTATATCGTTCTTAGAGGTCTATTTTTAGAATATAAATATGCGTTTCCGCGAATGATATGAACATCGAAAAAATTTCTGAAACTTTTCTATTAGTTTTAGAATTTTGTCTTTATGTCTTTTGTGTCAAAAGAGGAAATAAAAATTGCAGAATATCGTTAACACAGAAAGTAAAACAAGAATATAAGAAATCTTAGGTAGAATCGTTCAAAAAAGTTGCACTTTTTGCTCAGTAATTGCTTAACAGTAGAAGAAAGAGTTGGTCAGTGTTGTGAATGTTTAAATATATTATTGAATAAGTTAAATACATTGTTACAGTGTTTTGTGAGTTAATCTTACAACAGTTATTATAGTAGGTAAATTCTACAGTGAATATAGTAAACTGTAGACTGTGACATAAGTGATTATATATTAGCATTGCAAACTTTTATGATACTATAATAATACATAACACTGCTTTGCTACAGTATTATATTATAGTGATATATAGCCTGATGTATAGTACATACTATATTTACACATTGCAGTTACTACGCTTCATTATACACATAGTAAAACACAGTAGAAATCATAGAAAACTACAAAAAGATGAAAAGGGTACAGTATAGATAGTTTTTTAATGATCATGTAACACTCAATTTACTATGCAATCATATCTTACTTCGGTATAGTAAGCCATAACAATCCTTTGAATGACTATACCAGGTTACTACTATATTTACTACGTACTATATTTACATATTGCAGTTACAGTACTCCATTATGTACATAATAAACCATGGTCATTTGAACGATAAAATTGTACTAGAAGATTATTACTACGTACTATATTTACATATCACAGCTGCTATATTTCACTATATGTCTAGTAAAACACAATTACGACGGAAAAATTTAAAGATATACTACTATGAAAAAGCATTATACATACGTATAATGTTTCCCGTTATAACATCTGATCTACTATGATACTATATCTTACATCGATACAGTATAAATCATAATTTGAATGATAAAATCATATCAGAAGATTACTGTACAATTCTCACCCGCTACATTCACCGATCTTATTACGACTAGCATCCAACGATTAAACGTACTCAAATCTTCGAACAGCTGGTTCATCGTCTCCATATTTATTCTAGTGAGGCGATCGAAAATTTTCATTGAAAGAATGCTTGATCGTGATCGAGCAAACGATCGTTAAACTCGCACGTCCATCGAGGAACTTCTTGCATCTTTAAAGTCGACTGTCCGATTGCCGGCGCGTATTCTTCGGTCGCTTGAAAAGCAAGAGAGAGGAAGACGAAGAGGAGGAGGAGAAAGAAGAAGAAAAAGAAGAGGAGCAACGGCATCGTCGCGCGTTACGTCGTTCGACCGTTCAGTGCGTGAAAACGAACTGCTATCCGGCTCGCCGGCAGCCACCGTCGGTTTTCTCTCGTTCGAGAGCGTCCGCAGACCGTTTGGACTCGGTCTCTCGGGTTAATTGATCGGTTGGGATGTTTTCGTCCTCTTGGTCGACCTCGTTGCCGCCGCGTCGGTCAGCTCGATGCCGACATGGCAGTCCGCTTCCACGTGAGATCGATCACTCGAGACTCGAGACGCACTGGCGGCAAGCGCCATGCACACTATGTATTGTGTATATACCATCGCGTAAGTGTTTGACCGTATATCAGTTGTTCAACAGATGACATCCTGTAGCCTGGGCGCGAACAAACGCTTCGTTTCTTCTCCCCTTGAAAAAGACGGTCGCTCGTTCCTCCTCTTTTTTGCGCTCCTCTCTTCTCTCAGATCGAAAATGATTCGCGGTCGCATCTCGACAACTGCGACTGTGTACCAGTTTCCGGAACTGCCACCGTGACGTCGTTTTCGTGGTACATTTCAAGGGCAACCACGAAGGCGCTTGGGAGCCTTGAAAATGTCGTTCGAACACGATTCTAGACTTTGAGCCAGCCGAAAGATGCTTTCTGGCGTATTTGGACTACGAGGATTTAGAGGAGTTATCGAGTACATACTTGAGCGAATGTCATACGATATATGAATATATGAGCAGTTTATTTGCCAGATCGATTAACTTCACGAAACAAAGTGTAGAGAAAATTGATGAAATTATGTAAGGCAAACATCAATCAAGTGCTTTGGCATTAAAATTTCAAAAAATTCAGGATATGGGGTTAACCACTTTGAAAGGCTCGTATAAAAGTTGATATTATTTGATTTGTGTATGTTTCAACTTTACTGCGTTCTTTGGATCATTCTTGATTCAGTCATGTTTTACTTTTGTTGAGAAATTTCTCATGTTCGAAGGAAAAACGAAAGGATCATTGTTGATATGTATGTATAACTTCGCGTTTCAATTTGATGTCAAAGTTTTTTTCTAAATATTATGTTCTTCTGCCTGTTGAAATTAGGGCTAGGCGAGAACATGAAATTCAGGAACCTTAACCACTTAACCTACAACTACGGGCATAGCCCGTAGTACGATGATCGGGCCAAACGTAAATATTACGGGTTTTGAGGTAGGTATTCTTGCTTTTTAGTAGAATATATCTAGGTATTAATTAGAATAGGTTTCATGTATATTGCTACTTCATAGGGAAATGAATTTTGTAAATTTTATTTCTTGCAAACGGTTCTTTACTTTGCTCTTTGAATACCATTCTTGTGAATGGAGTTTTGAAACTTGGGACAAAGTTATGTCGTTTGAACAAAGTTCTGATACGTGAGATTTTCATCGAAACTAGATAGAGAACATATCTTCGTGTAGAAGGAAACGATGCAGGATTGCTAAATATATATCATGTGAATTCAAGACTGTATAATTATACAAAATTATTTGTTTCTACTATTTATTATCAAAGAAAACCGATTTAAAGCTGAAACAAATCGTAATTCTTGTAATAAAACCTAAAAGTTAAACGATTGTCAATTACAATTTACATAAAAAAACTAGTATTACAATTCTTTTCTTAAAAAGAAAGATCTTTTTTGTTTCAATCGTCAATCGAACCATAATCAATTTAAAAGGCTGATTTTAAGACGAAAAACTTTCTGCAATCAACCAAATTCACACACAGAGGAAACTAACGTAGAAGAAACTAATCCGTATTGCTGAATAACCAAATTCGTGAACGCTGACGAACAACGCGCCGAAGCGTTATTTTTTCTCGCGTTTTAACGGAGAAGCGGGTATATAACAACGACGAACCGTACACCTCAAGTTTCGTTTTAATCAATACTGTCGCATGGTCGCGTGCAGAAAATTCTTTCGCTTATCGCGGCCCGTACGAGTCGGTAGAACGCCGAAGTGCAGTTAACGCAGCAAAAAGTGCATTTACTTTCCAACTAAGCACACAACCCACCTATCACCTCTTTCTCTTTCTCTTCTTTTCTTTCTTCTTTCCTTTTCCGCCTAGAGCCTGGATGATAGTCACGAACTTGTTAGATAAAAAATTATTTCTTTTCTGCCGGGTTAGACCGTGTTATCTCCCTTCTCTCGTGTCGTTTATCTTCCGCATGGCGCGATATCACAATGATATAACGCAACTCTGTAGTAGCATTCGACCGATGTTTCTATTCTTTCTTCCTCCTGTTTCTCTTTTGAAATTTTTTGTCTTTCATTTTTTTTCCTATTTAACTTTGGTTCGATGAGTAACGTATTTATGAACAACTTATTTATTCATTCGCGATTAAGCCGGTTAAAACGTGACTGATAGGCTGAACGGAAGCGATATATTTCGCCCGATAATGGGAGGAATGCGGGCGTTTTATGGGTATTCAGATATGTAAGATAAGGGTAGGTTTGATGAACTGTGCGGAAAGTGTAATGAATCTGGAGCGTGATAAGTTGTCAGGTAGAGCAGGATAGATTTTTGATAAAAGGTTTTTTATAACGTATACGATTGTCGTCGCGTGAAATTAGACAATACATAGATATGTTTACCGATGAATGATACGTCTGTAGATATAATGTACGGTAGGGGAATGATACTGTTGATAATAACGAAACAAGGGCTGGGTACTTTTGTTGTTTGTACGTATTACACAAAAGTGAAAATGAAACATTTTATCGGCAATGAAAAGTTGGACAGTCTGATAATTATGTGGCTATTGAAATATGTTGTTGTTTGTATTTTGAATGACTATAGTGGTGGTAAAAGATGTTATTTAA